AAAAAATATAATTAGTAAAAAAAAAAAATTTACTATTGGCATTTGAACTGTTCGGTGACTTTTGGCCACCCACTGTAGTTTGTTATGCTTCTATTTAAATAATATATTGGTTTAAAATTTCTTTTCTAATATAATTTAGATAATTAAGTTAATAAGTTAGTATTTAACTTATATAAGTTAAAAGATATAAATTTTTGTTCAAATATATAATTTTATTTATATAATAATAAAGAAATTATTGTTATTATAAAAAAAAATAATAATAAATAAATTATACTAATAAATTAAAATATAATAGGCAATGTTTATTAATTTCCAAATACATATTTTAGTTTAATACTTATAAGAAACTTATAAAATTTATTTTTTATTTGTAAATTTATCAGTTTTTTTATAAATATTATATTCAAATATTTGAATCTTGATCAAATTTAATAAATTGTATAAAAATATAATCTCTAATATTTTTGATAATTATGAATTTTAAACAAATTGAAGCAAAAAAAGTTATATATATATATATATATTTTAACTTGACTAGTTGAGCCTTGCCCAATACAATTGTTTATTTAATTATATATATGTATCTTACATATTTTTACACAAGTAATTACTATTTATACACTATTTTAAACTATTATTAAATGATATTGAATTTTATCTTCATATTAGCTTGTTGCTATTGACTTTGAATCCAGAGATCCTCTGTTAAGACTAATGTGTCATACTTTATTAGTATTATTATTTTATATTAAGTTCTATTTCTAATTATAAATGTTTTAAAGAGAAGTGAAAGGGAAAACTGGAGGCAATACCTATTGTGGCAAATAGAACTCTGTAGAGAAAACCTTCTAATCCAAACTAGACTATTAATAACTTATAAAAAGAAACATCAGATATTATAGGGAAGTAATTATTAAGCCATCCTTTTTCAAATTAGATATCTTTTATATCTTTTTATTATCCAACTTCTGGTGATCATTGTAATATAAACTAGACGATTGTTGCACCATGACTTCTTTTCTGAAGATTACAATCTTAATATCCACCAAATCAATATATGAATTGGTTTTTTATAAGAAACAGTGCTTTTAACAGGTTATGATATTAGATACTATATTAATTCTATTTAATTGCCTTTATCCAAAGTTGAATTGGTATCTTGTGATTTGGACCTGAAAATACTAACTACTATGTTATCAACCACAAGTCATGTAAAAAAAATTATATAAGGAAAGACTTTTGATCTAATTTAATAAAAGTTCATATTTCTTTAATATAATAGACTCTATAATACAAAAAATACTCTAATCTGAAGTTATTTTAATTTAATATTTGTTTAAAAGAAAAGAACATCAAAAAAAAAATCTAAGTCACAAATAATAATAAAGTATAATATTTTTTTTAAAATTTTAGGTAAAATTATTAAATAGAATATTTGAATATTTTAATTATTTCTATAAAATATATATGTTTTTTAATATAGCTAGACTAATAAATTAAGATGGATTTAAACTAATAACAAAATTCCTTACCTTTTGAATTAATTCTATTTGATATATAAATCCACTTCCAAAATATAAGTTTATATAGCTGGATTAGAGATAGATTAAGTTAATTATTATAATAAGTAATATTAACTTTATATATATATAGAAAAAATAAATAATGTATAATATGTGCAAATATTTATACTTAAAAGATACTTGATATATAATTTAAATATCAATTATCAATAAAAAATATGTATTGTTGTATATTTGCCTCATAAAAAAAATTTTTTTAAATCAAATTTTTTTAATTTAAAAATTAAATTTTAAGATAAATTTATTAATAAAATTAAAAAAAACTTATGTTTTTATTTTCTATATTATAAAAAATATATTTTTAAAGTTTTATATATTAAATATTTAAATAAATATTTATTTATTATAAAAATATTTGTCCAAAACTTTTAGACAAAGTATATAATAATAATTATTAATTATTAAATAAAGTTTTATATTTTAATGTTTGTGTAAAAAAATTTTATATTTAAATGAAAAGAATTTTTTTAAATTTGTTATAGAAAATTTTTACCATTTAAAAAAAAAAAAAATTCTTTTTATATAATAATTTTTAAATTTAAGTTTATTTTGATATTCAAAATTTTTTAAATTATTATTACAATATATATTTCATTTTATTATTTAAAATTTTAAATAATAAACATAATATAATGATATTATTATCTGATTAATTAATCGGACTTTAACGCATAATAAAGTTTTATATATCGTGCATCAATAAAAATAATTAATTGTACATTTCTTTCTAGGCACTCTCAACTACAGACACCATTAATTCAATAGCTGGATTAGGTCTGCTAGCTATCGCTAGTCTTTTTCTAAACTTGAAACCATCAACTTTTCGAAACCTAAACCTTCGGATCAAAATTGACAGCAAAGTCTTAATCTCAGCCATTGCCATTCTGTTTCCTATGCAGGAACGGGGACCAGTGCTAAATGGTAAGTAATTTAGGTTGTTGATTTCGGAGGAAATATTGGGGTTTAGCCATCGTTCTGGCTTGAATTCCTCAGCATCTTCGCCCCATATTGCAGGGAGTTTGTGGATTGCAGCTATTGGTATCACAATTGGTGTATGCTGGAAGATAATGAGATGTAAACCGTGAGAATTATGAAACAACGTACACTATATAGTGACAGTTAAATACCTTCGGAATCACATATTCACCAAATATATGATCTTCATTTGGCGCCCTAAGAATGATCGGAACTTTTCACAAAACAGTCAAAAATGATTATTCAAATTGTCATGATAAAATTTAGTGATATTTTGCACTCCCTAACGAACATAATTCACCTGAAGGTGCAATTCTCATCGATTCTTTAATTACGCAACTTAGATATTCTAATGAATTTAGATTATCAAATGAAGGTATGAAATCAGGATCAGGAAATGCATCACACAATTCTTTTCTTAGGTGATCTTGAACATCAGGATTTTGAGCGAGAAAGTATAGTATGAATGATAAGGCACTACTTGTTGTTTCATGACCTGCTACCAAGAATGTCATTATCTGATATAAATTCGAAATTCAGTTAAATGTTAATGTACAAAAATCTCACAAAAATCTCAAAATTTTCACGGTAATCAATCTTACCTGGTATTGCAGCTCTAGATCACTCATTTTTTCTTCTACCGGCAATTCTTCATTAATGCTAATTAATGAAGACAACAGATCCTTACTGCTTAAATTTTTTCCCTGACGAAAAAGTTGTTTTCTCTCTTTAACCAATGTCTTTGATTTATCTTCAATTATTTTGATGGCACCGCGAATTACAATGTTCCTAGGAAGTGGAAGTCTCCTAACTTTTGGGAAGAAACTGACCAATTGGGTTATTGCGATGTCGAGTAGAGTACGTTTTGAAGAAAATAAAGTTTCGTAAGCAAGAACGATGTCGTTTTTTGAATCGAGGTTGTTGAATTCGCAGCCGAATCCTAAATTTTAATTGAAATTTGTTATTTTACACATGATACTAATTTCCAATTAATTAAGCGTGAAAATTTTTTTATCAACTTACCGATCAATCCGATGATATCCATAGTGGCTTTCGTCAACCATGGGGAAATAATTATCTTTTTTTCTTTATCATCAATTTGACTTCTCCATATCTTTTCTAATTGCCTTCCAACACGCACAAATGAAGGAATCATTTCCTTATAAGTCATAATTACCATTAATACTTCTGAAAATCCACATGTTCCCTTAACATGCAACAAATCATACCTTAACATTAGAAAACGAGAAAGCTGAATTCATCATTTTCCTTTGTCGCTTATGAACATTCCCTTCGGCCATCAGTATCCCATTACCCATGATAGCCTTCAAGTCGGTTGACAGCTGAGGAGGTTTTATGAAGTCATAAGCGTTGCTGACTAAAATCTTGTGCAAATTTTTTGGATCGGTGATGGAGACGAATGGTCGATTGGCGACATTGTGATAACAGACGATATTACCATATTTTTTTGCCCATTCGAGGTATGGTTCGCCGGGCTTTATGTACAAGATGATATCGTGAGCAATTTAAAGATATAAGAAGAGCATTGATTATTCACACAAACCTCCTCCTTAGCTATTTTGATAAGATTCCCTAAAAAATAATTTTCCGGTGGTGGACCAGGTATTCTACGGGTAGGTGACAAATAATATGGATAAATGTATATTTTATAGGTGAGATAACCCAACAAGCCAACAACTGCATAACCAATCCACGATTCAGTCATTTTTTGAAAGAAAATTTGTTAACCATTTAAATTTTATAATTTCCAGATAAACTGGAGACAATTTGATCGATTATGCAATTACTGTTTTTATAAATAATTCCGGCATAATTAATGAACACTGTAACGGATGGATTGTAACATATCACTAGTAAGTAATACTAGGCATTACTAAGTATTATTACTATTTTCTACATGATCTCCAGAGAGAATCAAGGCTCCATCAAGCAATGCCCGGAGAAAGATCCCATGAGTGCCATTTTCATTTCGGTCCATTACAACTCCACAATTTTGGCAATTGTACATCTCAGACCCTCCAATACTCTTTATGTTACCACACCTGCTACATGTTTTTGATGTGTAAGTCTTGTTTTGGATGATAACATGGACTCCTAACTCCTTAGCCTTGGAAATTAGATGTTGACAGAAACGGTAATGTGCCCAGCAGAACATTTTTTGCACAGTCTTTCATCTAATTTTTCTTGTTTTGCAATTTATCATGTCAGATACCTCAAAAGGAGGAATAACAATAGTATCAAATTCATGAGTAAAAAAAGCAACAGATTTCTGGTAAATTTTACTCTACAAGTATATAATTTTTTGTCGCATCCATGAAACTGCATAATCAAGCTGGCAGGCCTTGCGCTTCTTACACTTCGAGATAGAAGTAGTCAGCTTATCTTTTTTTGAAATGAGGTTATCCATATACTTACATAGACAAGAAATTTGGCCTACATCATATTTGTCAATTTTACCTATACCTTTGGAGAGAGAATATCAAGTAAAGGGTGTTTGAATGCCAGGATCAATAGAGACTGCATGAATAGAACCATCCACTTGGGTTTTGTGGAATTCTTTTTGCTTTTTATAGACTCAAACAAATGTCCACTCATTGGTTTTTTGGAAATAGGTAAGTTTGTCATCAGATGTGATTTTGTGTGAATAGAACCACTTGTTGTTTTTAGATTTTTTTTCAAAATGAAGAGGCCACAAAGCACTAGGTTTGTACTAATGCGCATATGTATATATTGATTGAATATAAAGATAAGAAGTATAAAAATGATTTCAAAAAATTTTACTAAAATTCTGAACATGAATTGTAATAGTGTAATGTGATACCTTATACGATTGAAAAGAAAGAGAATGTATCAAAGCATCCTCTTGTCACTATATATTTCATTTAATAATATCATCTTGTGCAATCAATGCTTGATTAATTGCTTCATTTGTGATATTGGCTGGAGTTGAGCCAAAGTAACCTTATAAGAGCATATCAAGGTGAATAACTGTTCTGCAAAATTTTCGTTCATCTCAAATTGCAACTTTTTGAAGTTTTGTATTTTCCTCTTTATTTGTGTCTTTACTAGCTCTTACATCTATATAGAGCTTGAATTTCTTTTCAATCAGTTGAGCCTTTAACCATATTTTTTAAATTGGCCCGATATAACAATTCTTGATATAATATCGACAAAAATGACTTCAATGGATAATTGCATTATAGGCATATCTCGCCAAATCCATTCATTGTTTAAGAATCTGTTTTTGAGGATAATTTGGATATATCTTAATTAGTAATGCCTGGTTGATAATATTTTCCATCTTCTGGCATTTGTTGCAAGCTGCTATTATCTTTTTTTGTGTTTTTTAGTTCCTGTACTATTTTTTATATTTAGCTGCTTACTGTTTTTGCATTCTGTAAATAAAGACTTTGTTGATGGCAAGAATATCTTGGGAGAGTTCATATTCATCAGAAGTCGATTTATCAAAGAGAACTATGAGTTTCATAATATGAAGTAAGAATATATATTGGATGAAGTCAAAGGCAAACTGATAGAGTTGATTATGGTGGGTAACCACAACTTCTAAGACCATTCTGCGACTTGCTCGTTCTAGTAAGGCCTTAAGTCCTGATCATTTAAAGTTAATACCTGAGCCGATGTCACTAATAAGTTTGTAGATTGGGAATCGAAAAAGAAGGATCTGTTTTTGTCATTCAAGATCTTCTTTTTGCTTAAAACTGAAAATGCAAGTATATAGAAAACCTTTTCTAATAGTAGTGTCAGCAGTAGTGGTGGTGGTGATGACAGTGATGGTGGTAGTAATTTTGATAATATTTTGATTTGTTTTAAAAAAAAAAGAAGAGATGTTGTAAAGACGAGTTCTAGATGGAGATGTCTTAGTAGAGATCTTTTCTTTTTTAAAACAATAACGTAAAATGTCTGACAAGATATCAAGTTTCTTGATTGCTTGGTATACAGATAAGTATATTGAAAAAAGGAATCTTATGATTATAAACAACTAGACATTATTAAGCAACTAATTTGTTAGGTGTTACTAAGCAATCGACAATGTACGATAACTGGCGAATCTGTCACTAATGGTAATAAAGATTTGTGATAAGGTGAAATTGTTTTGATATATAGTATCTTTATTAATACAATTTTCCTTTCTTTTATATATAGTATATAACAAAAATTTTTTAATAAAAAATATATCGAAATGAAGTAAAAATCTAAAGATTTTATTAATATAAAATTAATAATTAATTTTTTTATCTTTTTTAATTATCATTTTATATTTCTTTTTTATTGAATTATAAAATTATTTGAAATTTTATTTGAAAATTTATTTCATTTTTTTATTATAATTATAATTATTTTAAATATTTTTTTAACAATAACTTAAAGATTTTTTATAGAGTTTAAGGTTGGACTATTAGAAATTAATCTATAACTTTGAAAATTTTTTTTTTGATAAACAATAGTTCTTTTATTATTGTATAAATAAAATTATATATTTAGACAAGAACCTATATTTTTTAACTTATATAAATTAATGTTAGCTTATCAATTTAACTATCTAAACTATATTAGAAAAAAAATTTTAAACTAATATATTATTTAGATAGAAGCATGACAGATCATCTATTTATAAAGGTATATAAGAAATTTAAAAATAAAAATAAAAGAAAAATAAACTATGTATTAATAATTAATAAATAACTTTTTATATTATAACTTTAGCTTATACAACTATGGGTTCAAAAAGAATTAGATATTAATATATACTTTCTAGTAAATATTCTGAAACTGTAATTTTTAATTAACACAAATTATCAAATCTAAAGATATAAATGTCAAGTAAAATACAACTCCAAAATTTTTTAATAGATCTTATAAAGAAATCAATTGATTTAAGTTATCAAATCTAGAGGCAATCAATTATTAAACAAAATATAATTTTAATATACTTTATAAGTCACCTAAAAGCTATAATAGTGTTATTATATTAATATTTATATCATTAATTTTTTCAAAGTTATTTATTTATTATTATTATGTAATAAGTTATTATTGTTATTAATAGTAGTATTGTTATTATAATGGCTAATAATATAATTTTGTTGAAATATAATTAATAGAAATATAATATTAATCTTTTGATAAGAATAAATTAATTTTGATTTTTGTTTAAAAAATTTTTATATCTATTGTATATATATATGCAAAAAAAATATCAAATCAAAGACCTTTCTCTATATAACTTTTATTAACAAAGTGCCCAAGTCTTGAAGAATCCAATCAAAAGTCCTATTCTTATATAGCTTAAATCTTTTTAATTAAACTCTTAAAGTTAACTTATATATAACAGGGCTTGAAGTATAGGAAAGTATTGTATTAATATTGGCAAAAATAACTTTCTGTTTTGAAAAAGATAAGTTATTAATATTGGTTAAATAAATAATAAGTTTGCTTTAGAAAAAAATTTTTTTGTTCTCAATAATAATAAAAAAAAGAAAAAAGTTTCTTTAAAAAAAAAGATAACTTGACAAAAGTCTTTAAAATATATCTTGTTAAAATTTTTTAAAAAGAAAGTTTTTTAAAATTGAGAAAAACAAGAAAGAGTTTTTTTTTTTATATATCTAATTTTAAAAAATTTTATTAATAAATATTTTAAATTACTATTATATTAAAATAAAAATTTATATTTTATATTTTTTTAAAACAAAAAAAAAATAAATAAACATTAATGTTTTATTATTTGTAAAAAATATAAAAATTTTATATATAATAAAATAACAATATTTTTTATATAATTAATTAATGGACCTGTGGGTCTATAGCACAGTGGTTAGTGCTCCACAGGTCAGATCACAAGATACCAGTTCAATCCCATGTGAA